GTTATCTACTAATCTGTAGGTTGCGCTCATTTCCAAAATAAGCCGTAGGCTCATAGCCAATGAGAAGTTAGATAGTGAGTACAATGTATAAAAATTATACTTATTATTCTTTGCGTAAATATTGCGATGAAAAAACAAGCAAAGTAAGTTGCCCCATGTGAGCTAATCCAAGACAATTCTGAATTCCACACTGTGGATTCCGGATTCCAGGTACCGGATTCCGGATTGCTAATCAGTGGAAATTGGATTTCGGATTCCTTGAACTTGAACCAGTTATCCACGTTATCATGATGTCACTGTTCATAGTCTTTATATATTAGGGCATCCCAAATTGCAACTGGAAAGGGCTTCGATCTTACTGGCCAAAGATTCTTTAACTGACCGGCCCTGTTAACTCCACGTGATGTTTTAGCTTCATAACAACTATTTTATCACTGTTTGTACCTTTCACTTTTTAACTTTCAGGGCTATGTCCACAAAACTGGACTAATCTAAAAGGTTCGTGCTACAAACTCTCGTCAGTGACCTCGAGCTGGAACTCTGCAAAATCTGCTTGTGAAGCTATGAGGTCTACGCTCGCCATGGTAAAGTCACAAGCTGAACAACAAGCAGTTGCCTCGATCATATCAGAAAAAACATGGATTGGTTTGCAAAGGGACTCCAAAGATAAATCACCCTGGCTGTGGGTCGATGGATCGACCGCAACATACTTTAACTGGGACAATGGAAAGCCCGACAACTCCGGCGGAAGAGAGTTTTGCGTACAAATGTTTCTTTTGGGAGGATGGAATGATAGAAAGTGTACCGCTGATCATTATTACCTTTGTGAAACTAAAGGTAGGTGACACAACAGTCGTCTGCTTTGTGTTGTTCAAGTTCTCAACTTGTGTACAATGCAAACCGTGGTTTTTATACATCTTATGATTTAACGAAAAGCACTTGTCTGAAATATGGCTCGGATGGAGTTGGAGGAGACGTGCGGATTTCATCCATGTATTTCATTTCGGTGAAAGAGCCACTAGTGACAGAAAAAAAATCTCACAGTGATCCCCTCTCGCTCCCCTTCCCCCCTCCTCTTGAGCGAATGCGTAGGAAGGTTGCCTCGAATGAGTCCCGTACGCCTTCATTTCTCTTAGGTAGCCTGTGTTCAGTACGACTTTCAATAAAGTATTTTTTACACAATCTGTAAAAGTAGTCCAACAGCAGAATTTTGGAATCATCGTAGCTATGAGACTAGTAGCCGAAAGGCCAATTGAAAGAATGTTGCACCAGTCATTCAATTGCACTAATTGCGTCGACGAAGGAAACGCTTTCTAATTGAGTCGTTGGCTGTTCTGTGTGTTCGTGGGCGGCCTGTGCATGTTCCAAGCGAGAGAAATCGAGAAACGAGGTTGTCGGCGTCGTCGGTGTGTTGTTCCAAATCTGCACCATCTTGAAACGTCACAAGAGCATCCAGCATGAACAGCGTTTAATGCACCATTTTGAAACGCAACAATAGTATGTTTGTGTCACAATAATATCCATCATGCCCATCGCGTTCGGTCCCCAGCGCGTTTCGCAACATTTGGATCTCTGCTTCCTCGTGGTTTCCGACGAAAGTTTTTGGTTTTGGTGTGAGAATTCAACTCCCCGTAACTCAGTAAAGGTAAAAAAGGATTAAGATGCTTTATGATAACCGATACAGGTGCCTAAGGCCCTAAGACGACGAACTATAATCTACGATTACTGCTAGTAACTAAACAATAAAGTTTATGCTGGTGGGCATAAACATGTTTTGGGCCCGACTCAGACACATTTTAGCCCAAGCCGCTCGGCAAGGATTAAAATGAGCTCTGAGAAGGGTTCAAAACATATTTATGCCTAAGAACATAAAATCTATTACTATTATTATCACTTTTGAGAGTATTGAGAAAATAAAAGAAAAGAGAAAAAAAAAAAAAAGTTTTCAGAAACTGACAATTGACAAGACGGTCTGAATAAAAAAATAATAATAATACACTTTCATGTGAAACCGGCTAGAACAAAATGACATAATTGTTCCATTTAAGTTCAATAAAAAATAATAATAGACAAGAGAGCTCATTTGCAGGCGTTTAAATTAACCCTCGGACGTACAGGGCGGGGGGAACGGGGGGAGTGGTGCCCCCCCCCCCCCTGAGGTTTTTCTGAGTTTTTTCGTAGAGGATAAAACATCAGTAGCTGTTTGTTTATCTCTGGTGCACATTTTGAGTTAGTGATGGTCAGTTTCTATAGTTGCGAGATATGACGTCATAAATTGCAGGTTGTTAAGCCCTTTTTGTGTGTAAAATATATATGTTTTTCAACTTCTTTCACCAATAAAAGTAAATCTTGTAGCTAAAATCATGCAAAAAGCTTATTTATGTGTTATTTTTTCATGTAAAGCACAAAAAATTCCCATTTCTTGCGGTTTTAACCTGATTTCTAATTCTAACCATTGTTGTTCTAACCATTGTTGGTCACAAGCCTCCCGCAGCGCCACCAACCATAAAATATACCTCACCTTGTTAAGAAAATCAAAGGCTTTCCACTGAAGGTAAAATCAATTCGAAATACTGCAACTATGCAACTAGTCAAAAACTCTGGGGAGGGGTTCCATCTCCCCCCCCCCCCCCCTTGTACCAGGGGGGGGGTATGAATTCAGAAATAGTTTATATACTATCAAAAACATGTATGTATGTATGTATGTATGAATTTGCGTGTACGTCCGAGTGTTAAACGGGCATAATTGATTGAATTAAGTGCTTTCGTCTTAAAAAACTTATATGCACCTCACCGCCGAGGTGCAGATAAGTTTTTCTTTTTTTTTTTTTTTACATCAGAAGCCTCGCTTACTTTTGTAGATATTCTTCCTGTAACTTAGGACAATTTACAAATTCTTTGTTATTCATGTTTTCGGCCGCCCCTTCGGCTTTGAAAATTTAACGCTGTGTTTTCTTTCACAAACGATGCAAGATTCATTCAAGATATACATGAACTAGTAGCAACATGAACTAGTAGCAAGTTCCAGGTGTTCAGATGATGGGGAGCGAGTTAAATAGTATACGCGTACGCAGCGAGTGCAAAAGAAACACGAGGGAAAAAAAAACAAGGGAAGCCCATTTTTCCGTCATCAACTTGTTGTTCGCGCATGCCCAACTAGTTTTTTGCCCGCCCTCCATCATCTGAACACCTGGAACAGGCTATCCACCTAGACGTTAGCTTAATTTTCATTTCTTTGTAATTATTGAATTTGTATTTCCATATTGTTTTGCTCTTACATCTAATTTCTTTTTGTTTTTTAAGCACATCACTTTAACGTATGGCTTACTATTCCGAGTAAAAGTCTGACCTTAGACCTATTAAATTCCACCTCTACGCAATACCAGCAAACAAGAGCTGAGGTTATGAATGAGGTAGGTCATTTGTTGGTGTCAGGAATCCTGCACCATTTTACTTTATGAGGTGCAGTAACCTAAATATTGGGTAGGTCGATTTGATGTAAGATTTTTTAATGCTTCTTAGCAAGGGAAAATCGCAGTCCACATTTACAAACAAAACATTTTTCGTAGTTTAAACCCTCAGCAAATGACAGCTATATATTGAACATCTAATTAGTAATATAAATAAAAAGGTACTTACCGCCAAAAGAACAATTGAGCAAATTGTCCTTATTTGTCAGTTGTGAGCAGATCCATCATTTGCCAATGCGGAAGTTATATTTAAATTATGCATAGATTAAAAAGCTGTTTTTGTTGGTATATAATCCAGTTAATAAGTGATAGTCAATTTGCAAAACAGGTAAAACAGCTAACAGGCTAACTGCCCGCTACACACAAAAAGTCCGCACTTTATTAAAAAGTGCCCTACTTAAGAGCGAAATAAATGCAGTTGTTACAGTTGTTTACAGTTTGCCGTCAAAATAAGGACCAAACTGCGCATAAACAGAACATAGTCTACAGTAAAACAATTCTTTTCACTGCGCATGCGCAGTTCATTGTCCAAGAGCAGTGATCGGTAGGTGAGTTTATGCATGGTGTCTAAGGCCAATCGGAACTTTATATTTAGTCAAAAATAGAGTTCATTCGCCTTTCATGGGGCCAAGCAAGCTCTGGAATGGACCTACACGATCAGAACACGTGATTTAAAAGGAAATAAAGGAAAAGTGAGCGAAAATTTGGCAATATTTTGTGTGTTTGTTTGAAATGAATTTCTCTACCAAAGCTAAATTTAAAAATTGCACTGTCTAATCACAGACGAAGGCGGCTCAGATTCATTAATTTATTTGTTTATTATTTTTTTACCTTGCAGTTCAATAATCATTTTAATAACTCTGGTGGATTTTTTATCGCTGAATTTCTGCGATTTGGGTATGTAACGCTTCCATTTCCTACAGAATTGTTTGTAATAAAGAGCAATGAACGTTTTTAAACATACGTGTGTACTAACAAGTGACAACATACCGAGTAGTACTTTTTTTTCCCAAAAGAAAAAATCGAGAAGGGTGTTATCTTGCGAAGAGGAAGGACGGATGAGACATTCCTCCAACAATATACATTGTTATACACTATCTCCTTCTCATTGGCTATGCATGGTTTCCAAGACTAATGTCTGTGCGATGGCGTGTTTGTCATTACTTATACATCATAAAACAATTATTATATTCGTTTTTTTTTAATATCCGGAATAATCAAACTCGGTAAGCCGTTTATTGGCCGAGCCGAAGACCGAGGCTGATAACACCTTGATTTTTCCGGATATCACAAAAACCTCACTCAATAAGGGTCGTTTATTATTGGCTGATAGCGAATTTAGCCAATTATGATGGAATCCGCAGGCTATCCTTATATACAAAGCTAAATGAGAACTTTTCATAATAATGTTTCTCTCACATCCCCTTTTACCTTGGGTTGCTTAACACATAGTTTACGCACTTTGTATTGTTTCTGTTTTTTCCTAGTGCTCAAACAAGAAGCTCTAAGCCAACCTACTTGGTGGAGCCTATGGCAGACATAAGAGTGTTTTCTACAAACTGTTCGGTGAAAGATCAGTTGATAAACGAAATAAAATCAGGAATAACGAGGATAGCAATCTTTAACAATTCTCTCCTGGAGATAGTAGACACAGGTAATAGTATCAGGAGAATACTTTTCTTAGTCTTATTTTTTGTGAGTCAGTTAAACGATATTATGACTTGATAAATTTTATGTCCATATCAAAGTTGAAGGTCCAATCGGTCATCGGTTGGGAAAAGCTTCGTACAGCAGCCTAGCCAGGATTTTTTTAGAGGTAGTCACAATTTTTCACATTCCGTCTGCCCCTTCCCCACCCCCCCGCCCACCTACCTTTTTTTAGACCTCAGCTCATGACATGATCTTCACGATGCATAACTGGGTACCCACGTACGTACCGTGCGCACCGTGTCATGTAGCCGACGTCCCTGTCGTATAAGCGTTGTTGTCTTTGAACGAAAGACCCTTACATCTAAATTGATTGAGTGCGTTAATCTGTATCAGGATAAAAATTCCTATAGTTACATTCGTAACATTCTATTGTAGTCAAGTCCCTAAATATCCTTATTTTGTTTTATATCTAGAGAACTGTACATGTCCTCCTGTACTCGTTAACCTTAATCTGACCAAGGACCTAAAAGACCTTAAAGAAAATATCACAGTGCGCGGACAGACCAAAATACCTTTTACTGCGAGTGTAAGCCGCGTTACCTGTAGCTTACCAGAAACAACGAGATACTGGCACATAATTCAGATTTACGATCCTCCAGAACCCTATAAAATAAAGTTTCTTCAAGTTCAGCTTAACAAGTCTAAATCCTCTATTACAGTATCGCGAAGTCTCGAAAAGGATGTATTCTTGTACGTCAGTTACATTGTTAAAGGTCTTGCACACAATAAGGTCATCGGATATAACTATGGTTACTCTAAGGTCAAACGTGATCCCCCGATCGCAAGCATTATGGGACTGTCAAGCGCTTCTAAAGGAGAGGGGAATATCACCCTTAATGGATCGTTGTCGTACAACCCAGAACCAGTTGGACAACTCAACTTTACATGGCTCTGTCGGAGAACTTATGAAACATTTTCTACTCCCTCTTATAATGTTGATCTTCCAAACATGCGCACAAACGTTTCCACCGGTTGCTTTGGTAACGGTCCCGGAATGCTTAGCGCCACAACAAATGTCCTTCTTGTTGATGTCGACAAGATGGAGGAGGGACAGACTTACGTGTTTGAGCTAATTATTACAAGCGGTCGGAAAACATTTAACGCCAGTCATCAATTGACCATTCACCAGGGAGTAATTTTTTTTATTAGGTAAGCTATAGTCTAGAAAGAAAACTGTTTACGAAACAAGGAAATGAGGCGATTAAATTGAGATAAACGAGAAAGCAAACGAAAAAGATGGACTGAACCGCATGATTAGATCTGATTAAGTCGTGACGAGGGATAAGATCATATTTAAGTGTTACTTTTTGCGCTATATGAATAATAAATTATTATTATTATTATTATTGTCACTGTTGTTGTCGTTATCGTTATCGTTATCGTTATCGTTGTCGTTGTCGTTGTCGTTATCGTTATCGTTGTCGTTGTCGTTGTCGTCATCGTTGTCGTTGTCATTATCGTTGTCGTTATTGTTATCGTTATCGTTATCGTTATCGTTATCCGTTGTCGTTGTCGTTGTCGTTGTCGTTGTCGTTGTCGTTGTCGTTGTCGTTATCGTTGTCGTTGTCGTTGTCGTTGTCGTTGTTGTTGTCGTTGTCGTTGTCGTTGTCGTTGTCGTTGTCGTTGTCGTTGTCGTTGTCGTTGTCGTTGTCGTTGTCGTTAACGTTGTCGTTGTCGTTGTCGTTGTCGTTGTCGTTGTCGTTGTCGTTGTCGTTGTCGTTATCGTTGTCGTTATCGTTATCGTTGTCGTTGTCGTTGTCGTTGTCGTTGTCGTTGTCGTTATCGTTGTCGTTGTCGTTGTCGTTGTCGTTGTCGTTGTCGTTGTCGTTGTCGTTATCGTTAACGTTATTGTTACCGTTATCGTCATCGTCATCGTCATTGTCATTGTCACTGTCACTGTCACTGTCACTGTCACTGTCACTGTCACTGTCACTGTCACTGTCACTGTCATTGTCATTGTCATTGTCATTGTCATTGTCATTGTTATTGTTATTGTTATTTTTATTGTTCGCGGGCCTCGGAAAGAAATTTTATTCTTGATCACCGATTTTGAAATTAGACGTTATGCTGTTGCACTCAAAACGGGTTGTTTTCAATGTAATATTCTTTATTTGCAGTTGCAGTTACAACTGTGGCCCCAAAGCAGTTAATCCCAGAAAACGAACGGTCATAAAATCAAACTGTACTGGACGTCTTTGCAAAAACATAACACGCTACGAATGGACTTTGTTTCAATTGGATTCTGCTGATGTCAGCGGTTCTTGGAAAGAAGTCTTAGATTACAATAATCCAGATATAGAACTGATTAGTAAACTTGAATTGAATACTTCTTACAAGATAAAAGGTTCAATTGAAGTGATGAAAGGCAGGATCAAGAAAAAATATTCAAGTTTTAATAAGATAACGTTTCAAACTATGTCGCCTTTAATAACTCCCAACGACACATGCAAAGTAACACCAAATGAGGGTTTTGCTTTGGAAACGAACTTCACAATTGACTGTGACGGCTGGCAAGACCAATATGCAAACCTAACTTATACTTTCAGGTACGTTTCCTTATGATTTGAACTAGTTAGAATGATTTGCAAGGGAAACAAGAGTTACATTGCTGTGTTATTATCTGTTCTAATATTTGTTGCTCATTTTTGCTCTCATTTTTTGTCGGGGAGGAGGATTACCAAAGCCAATGACAAATATTTTTCATGGATAATAATGCTGGTTAAATCGATGTCGGAGCTGTTTGAATTTACTGTTGTTTGAAATAAAATTTTGCGATGAGATTTCAGTGACGAAAATGTTTGCTTATTCTCCTGGAATTAACGATCAATCGAACGCACTATAAGTTTTTCTATTGACTTGCCAGCTCTATGAGTTAAGATTACAAGGTCTTCAACTTTCTCACTCCTTAGCTGTAAATTTTTTTCAATGATTTCAATACTAGTTACAATACTTCTACTGGCTCAGTTATTTTGGAAAGTGCAACCCCGATCCATTACATATCAACAAGCATTCCTGAAGGAAAACGATCTGAAGGCCACAATGTTACGTTACTTGTAATCATTGAAGATACGACCGGCGCAAGTCATAGGGACGAGTTTATTGTGAAGGTACATTATAATTTTTTTATTATGAATAATAATTAAGCTAGATCGCGCATGTACTGGGAGACAAGTATTGGAAATGCTTCTCTCTTGTAAAGCTCCTAGCTTCGAGAAAAGATGGATGAGGCTACTGAGTTTTAGATTCAGCCAACATTTTGTAAAACTTGAAAAATGGGAAACTCACCGTAATCAAGGCTAAGTTTTGCCAAATAATTTATCATAAAGAGTTTTTAATAACAAAGAGGATGTTTTTTTGTCCTTGTTGTGATTGATGTTTTGTACAACAGAATGATTGAAAAAACTTTACCCTAGCAGAACAACTACAGTTATTTATTTATTTATTTAGGATATAGATGACATTGTCGTTTGTCTACATTAAATGGTAGTCTTTACACCAGAGCCTAAATAAACTAAGAAATATTTCAAGACAAGTAGATTTTAAATTCTTCAAGTAAAAGAAAGCTTCACACACAACCTATCTTTTTTACTTCAGGTTTACTTAAGCCTATTTTCCCACGCAACATGATTAAGATTGATTGACATGCTTCGCCTTTCTCAAAGCTTAGAAACCGCAAGTTCGCTAAGTCGGTTTTAAGGATGGTTTTCAAGTCACTTGAAACTTTCTTGAATCGTTTCAACTTTCCGACTTTAATAAGATGCAAAGTAACGTTACTTGAGATTTTACTAAGGCCTTCAACCGTATTTTTTGGTTAAGTAAATCGTAGCAGCTCTTAAGTCTTACTTAACAGCCTAGTGTAAAGACAACCAGTGTCTTTTGTCCAAAGCATATTATCTTTCATTTCACTAGAATTGACCTAAAAGCAACGTACACTTCTTAGATAGGCTATGTTCACAGCATACTGAATATCTTAAACAGTAACAGCCCCTTTTAGCACAAATCGTTCACACACATCAAACAAAGTGTCGGCGCGGTTAGCCGAAAGGTTTGGTGTACTAAATTTCCGCCCTCATTTCTGAATACAGTATTTACTTCAGTTTCAGTGGCTTCCAGTCACCGCTCCTTCTTACTTACTTCCGCGACGGGCCAAATAGGTGTTCACACCGTCCTACTGAGTATGGCACAAACCGAACAGATATGTGTCTCTCAACTTTCGAGATCTGCACTGCGCCACGCAGCTTCGCTCTTTCACGGAAATCACGCCGCCACAACCTTTCCTGGGTGTGAGCAGAAGCCCTTTCCGGTATGATTTCCGTGGCTGTGCAAAGTATATCCTGTATAGTGCCAACACAGCCTTAGATTGCGAAGCCCAGAGTCCTGGGGAATCTTACGATTCCGCTAATACCTACCTACCGGTAACATAATGTAAACGCTGACGTTAACATGTGATTGCCGTCATGTTTGCCTCGACGTTGCCACGTGTTAACGTTATATTTCTGTTTCCGCATTCATGAACTTTAGTTTTGTGATATATGTATGACTGTTGTTGTTGATAAAGGTGAGGCCGTCTACAAATACATCAAATGTGGCACATGAAATTGGTGACTTAGTGAAGAAAGGCGACGTCCGCAGAGCTACTACTACGGCCATTTCTTATCTTCTTAGTTCCAATGACAGTCAGGTAAGAGTTTAATGAATCGTTATATAAACTGAACATGTCACTTAAGATTTTCATGTCGTCGTTTAAAGTTGTCATTGCGCATTGGCTTTGCCTTTCATGCCTTGTTATGTAAATACATACCCTGCGAGCAGAGGTTTCTTTCTGGCATGGTTTATAGCATTTGCGAAGTTGTCCCCACCACTTGTCAGTCGCGTAGTCCGTTTGTTTACGTAAACAAACCAACTACGCCGCTGAAAACGTTCCAGGTTCCCTGTTAAAAAAATGTTACAACTTTTTTCGATTTGATATCCCCTATTTCGAGTCCCAAATTCTTCACCCTCCCCACTCCCCTCCCAAAAAAAAAAATAAACTAATGATGAAGCCTTTTTTACCACTTTAGAGCAAGAACAGCATTTTGAGTTCTATGGCTAAAGTTAAAGTCACAAAGATCAGCGAGGCAACTCAGCTTACAAGTATTGCTGTTTTGGCAACGCAACAAAGAGACAAAATTCCTCTTGAAACCCTGGCAAGTATTTAACAATGGCCGATATTATGTCCGAGAGGAAAAAGCGGTCTGAGACTTTAATATCCTGCAAAAACAGTTATTAAGGCAGACGCATTTCATTTTTCAGGGGCAACCAACGAGAATATAGCTTAAAACCACTTTAACATAGCATTGTTAAACGTATTTCAGTATTTAAACGATAGATATAGGCATATTTTTATCCCCTAAAAATTTTTCATCTGTTCGGATTTCCTAGGTGAAAGTCTAGTGATCCGAAAATTATAGGGATCAAAACTTACCTTTTCGAAAGTTCCAGCCAGAAAAAAGGCTCCCGAAAATTCTAGGTGACCTTTTTAGGGTAAAACTCCGTTAAAAATAGGCAATTATACCATTTTTTAGATGTTGGAAAATCCTAGGAGAGGCAGGCAGGCAAGAAATTTTACAACAAATGTTCCGAAAATTCTAGATCTCAAATCGTCTTCCGAACAGATATTTTCCGAAAATTGTCGTTGGGTGCCCCTCATTTTTAAAAATACAATGTACAGTATTCTGTTGAGTGCACCCCTGTAACTTTAAGGTCTCCCTCTGAATTTAAAGAGGGTCTGGATGGGGTTAACTGAACTGACAAATGGCCAAAACTTTAACTGACAACTGAAAACTAGCCGAAAATTTGACTGACTACTGACATATGCCTTGGATTTTACTTTCAACTGACAAAGGACCTGATTGTCCCTTCTTTTCTACAACATTGCCAGAAATTTCGAATCGACATGCGCAGTGAGAGGCGACACAAAAAAACAATGCAATTTTCATTACAGAGAAATGACTGAGAAAAGATCGAAAATCGAAAAAAAACTGTCCTACAGGCATTAGAGGTCACTTACTTTGCATCAGTTTCATTAGTATTTTTGTTAAACTAAATGAATCTGCATTTATACGTACCTTGCAAGTTTTATCCGTTTCGGTTTTGAGGTAAAGAGATTTGTAAATTGACTGTAAAGGATTTGTATGGTTGTCGGCGATAAAACGCCGAAACAGAGCCCAGTTAAAGTGTTCCAGTTCGCGTCCAAGTTCGTTGGGTACAACCACTTTGCATCGGTTCTGCGAGTTAACTATGCTTACTTACTTTCAGGTCCAGTGACACTTTGCACTTCCCGATTGAAATTTCTTTCGTTTTTTAACTTTGAAAACACAGTAAACTTCAATATGGACTCCACGGCGAAATTTCCTCATATTCGCTTTTCTGAATATCTCTGCGAAAAATCGTCCAAATTTCAAGCAAAACCTCTTATTCGAGAGATAATTTCTCGCCTTTTGAACACATTTCAGAATAATTGACGGTATTTTCGTTCAGCTGAGTCTTTTTGACCGTGAATACGGTCATGTTTGTGTATCGTGACATTGAGCCCGTACTAAGCAGGATCTGACAACGGCTTAGCCCATAGAAGAAACATATTCATATAATTAGCACGAAAATTTTGGTTCGAAATTTCTGGCGTGAAACCCGTTTTGTTTTGTTTTGTTCATGAGACAATGTGATCAAATGTACGTTTTTGGGGGGTAATCTTAGCAGCAAGACGCTTAAGTGTCATATTTCGTTAATGATTTTACTGTAAAACCCATCTGTTGTAAATGACCTATGATCTCAAATTTACGCTTCTCCGAATGGCTGCTCAGAATGAGGGCGTTACAAAAACAATTGCAAGTTTTTACACTTTTAGCGTGCTTTAATATGATTTCGATAGAACGTAAAAAAGGACTCAAAGTCATCATGTGTTAAGAACAATTTGTCCGGAGTCGTAAGTCGGGCGTGAGAAATTGTCCTTGATGCGTTGCGTGATATCGAAGTCTTTGGTCCAGAAGCGTAAGGCTCACGCATAATGCGTATACAATATTCTGATGGTATAACTTTTGATTGGCTTAATGGTCGGCAATGTTGGACTCTGGCCAGCAAAAACGTTCAAGTGGATTAGGAGAGTAACACAAGACTTGAGAAAAGGGGGGGGGGGGCACTTGAAATGCTTACAATAGCAAAACTGAAAACAAATTAGGTACTATTGCATCAGTTTTCGAATTTAAAGTTTAATTATAAATAAACATGCACCGACTAAAACCCTTTCTCAACGTAGGATTAAACAATTTTCTAAGCCTTCGATTGCAAAAGGTAAAAGAACATCAATCAAAGGAAAAAAACAGACTGTACCAAATTGGCAATCAAGAAAAGTATAAATATTATCGAGATAAAATTTGCAGTATTATACGTTTGAGAAAGAAACACTGTTACTGCGCCTTTTTTAATAATAATTTTAAAAAAAAGAAAAAAAAAACATGGCAAGGCATAAATGAGTTATTAAATCGCTGCCAAAGGAAGGGTGAATCTGTTGGTAAATTAAAATACCCAGATAACAACAATAACTTTACTAATGATTCCTCGTGTATACCAAATATCTTAAATAAACATTTTTCAAATGTTGGCAACATCTTAGCAAGCAAATTACCACCGGCAGAGCGCCCCTTCACAGAGCACCTTAGAAAGTCCAGCCTTTCGCCAGAACTTTCGTTTTTCTTCAAAACTGTAACTCCACCTGAAATTCAATTTCAAATTTTATCTTTACCAAACAGCAAATTGCATGGCTTATACTCCTGGCCCCGGTTGTTCAAACGTTCGATAGCGCTATCCACCGGATAAATCACTATCCAGCGGATAAGTATTACGGAAATCAATTACGCTATCCGCTGGATAGTGATTTATCCGGTGGATAGCGCTATCCGACGTTTAAACAACCGTGGCCTGTCCTACTCAACTTCTTAAATACTCAAGCGAAGTCATATCTCCAGTTCTTTCAGACATTCTCAATACATCTGTCTCTCTTGGGGCCTCCCCCCAAAAAACTTAAAATGTCAAAGCTGACCACGAGACCGACACTTCTAATTATAGGCCAATTTCATTATTATCTAATGTCAATAGAATCTTCGAAAACATTATGTACGGCACAATGAGAGACTTTATTGAAAAGCACAGCCTATTATATTCGTCTCAATATGGTTTTCGTCAAGCTCACTCAACCCAATGTGCTATTCTTAATATGGTAGAAACTATACAAACCAATATGGATAAAAAACTCTTTTCACGTGGCGTTTTTATTGCCTTAAAAAAAGCCTTTGACACCGTGAATCAAACTATTTTACTTGATAAACTAAATTATTATTGCTTCCGTTGGAATTGTCAATCAATGGTTTTCCTCTTATTTATCAAATCGCACACAAACTACTGAAATTGGCTCTCATATATCTAGTAAAATAAATATCAATTGCGGCGTACCGCAAGGATCTGTCCTAGGCCTACTTCTCTTCTTACTTTATATAAATGACATCCAATATTGTTCGAGCAAACTCCAATTTTTCCTTTTTGCTGACGACACTAACGCTCTTTATGCTCATAAAGATTTAAAGACACTGAAACTAACAGTAAATTCAGAAGTACACAACTTGTATAACTGGCTGACTTCAAATAAGCTTTCCCTGAATATTAAAAAGCCAAACTATGTAATTTTTCGTCCATACCAAAAAAAAAAAGTCAACTATGATCCCCAGGTTAATATTTTTGACAATGATAGCAATAAAAGGGTTACCCTTGAACGCAAAACCTTTATTAAATATCTTGGACTGTTAATCGAAGACAATATATTTTGGAAGGCCCATATTCACTCTATTGCAAGCAAAATAAGTAAACAATTGGGATAAATGCGAGATTAAGAAATATCGTTCCCACTTGTACCTCCTAAATATTTATCAGTCACTAATTACACCTTATCTAACCTACGGGTCTTTTTAGGCTTGGGGCAACGCGTGTAAAACTTTCCTTGACCAAATTCTTGCCCTTCAAAAACGCGCACCGCATTAATTTTAATATAATTTGCTGAAACAAACGACCACGCAATACCTATTTTTGTCAATGCAAAAATTCTAACTTTACAGGCTCTATATTATGAATCCGTTTGTAGTCTTTTGTATGATGTAAATAAAAACACTGCTCGGAATAATATTTTGAATCTCTTCTCTCGAATTTCTAGTGTTCATACTTACAATACTCGTGCCTCAACCTCTGAACATTTTTATACTAAAGAATCTCAACTCAATGTCAAACGAAATGCTTTCTCGCGTGTTGGGGCCAAAATTTGGAATGGGATACCTCAAATTCTTAAAGAAAGACCGAAAAAAGCTTTTAAAAGATCACTACAAGCAATGCTACTCGATATCCTTCAAACTGAACACTCCTATATTGATGTTGATACGACTATTGTAAAAATGAAAAAGTAATTCTCTTGTCCTTTATTTTCATTTTATTTCATTTTTAAAATTTTACTCCAATATTGTCCCTGTATTTAAGTAGAATAGTATTTATTGACTGTAAATTATATATACTTATATAACGTCTAATTTCTTTGTATTTGTCGAGTTTGTAGTAAATTATGTAGCCTGGCATGCCTCGAATAGCCTTGCCAGTATGGTATTTTGTTATATTTCCAAATTTAAATAAAGTTGAATTTCGGGCCAAAAATGTCGAAATAAATTTCATTTCATTTCGTAATTTCTTTTTTTCATAGGAGAATACTGCTAGTGTGCTAGACAATACAATCATCTTCCTTCTCAAAAATGCTGTGAATAACAGAGAAGAAGTTGAAGACAACATTGGCAAAACCACAATAAAAGGATTGTCTAATATTCTTCACGCTTCTTCCAACGTGCCCGAAACCCAGGTAATTTTTATGCAAAATGGGAGCGAGATTATGGAACCCTATTATGAAACCCTCAAATAGCTCCACTACTTGAAGTACAGATCATACACAAACTCGCAGTTTTTGCATTCAGTGAGCCAATAAAAATGCTTACGGTTATTTTATATAGTGGACCAGCCCGTGCGAGTTAACCCTCAGACGTACAAGAGGTGGGTGGGTGGGGGGGGGGAATGGATGCCACCCCTCCATAAGGTTTTTCTGAGTTTTTTCCCAGAGGATAAAACATCAGCACCTGACCCTTTCAGTAGCTGTTCTTTCATCCCTCGCGCAAATTTTGAAACAAGTTCAGTAGCTTTCAGTGATATTCAGTTGCTATGGTTACGGGATATGAAGTTATAGGTAGCAGGTGGTCAAGCCAGTTTTGGGTGAAAATACATGTTTTTTCAACCTTTTTTCAACAATAAAAGTAAATCTTAAGGCTAAAATCATGCAGAGTGCTTATTTATGTGTTACTTATCATGTAAAGCTCCAAACGTAGTATTTCTCGTGGTTTTAGCCTAATTTCTAGTTCTTGGTAAAATCCAGGATGGCGACCGTTGTTGGTGACGTCACAGGCGTCCAGTAGCCCCACCACCCATAAAATATACCTCATCTTGTTAAGAGGATCAAAGGCTTTCTACTAAGGCAAACCATTTTCAAATATTGCAACAGATCAAAAACTCCGTGGAGGGGTTACCCCCCCGTACCACGGTGGGGGTATGAATTTGGGTGTACGTCCGAGGGTCAAAATGATGTAGTCGTTGCCTCAAGGGGTAAGTGAAAACTGACATTAGTCATCATTCCATTACAGGCTAAAAATGTAACTGAGAGAATCCTTTTCCTAGTGGATACACTTGCAACGGCACTTCTATCCATAAAAACATCTGGCCAGAGACAGAGTGTCTATGACAGCGACTTCATCAAAATGAGACTTTGGCGACAAAGGCCAGCAAATCTTGGAAACAAAACTTTCAGTGGACATGAGGAAGAGGGAAATGTGACTTTTCCATCTGCCGACGTCTTATTTAGCAGCGACAAAAATATTCAGAAACCAGGAACGGTCGATACCCAGGTGAGTTAGCATTATCTGCCCATAAATCCGAGACTCCGAGACCGGTCGGCAAAAAAAAATTAGGGACTCCGACAAGTCGAAATCCCCCGAAAACGAGAAGTCGAGACTCATCAAAAACGCTTCCGAGATCTCGAGATCAGGCCAAAATTTTCCGAGACCCAGGTTTTTCGAAGTGACATTCTATACCCCTGCCAAGCTTCTTCCGCAATAAGTGTGGGACTCATAGTTTTCTGCTATTCCCATTGGAAAGTTTGCTAGCAAGCTACCTTTATTGACCCAAAATTTTAGGTTACCACCAAATATTATACAATGATGTGAATGCTACGCGCGCTGTGATTGGTCGTTGCCCATGATCTATTAGAGTACAGATACATGGATGACGTCACGGGAAACTTGTTTTCTTTGTTTAGTTCAACATGGCACGCGGTTTTGAAAATGTTTGTGAGATTATTTCGGATTGAGGCAAGTGAAAGCTCCGGAAAAAGTTTAGCAGGAGCTATTTACAAAGAAGAAAAATGGAGAAACGGAGACCAAAAAAGCTATTGACTACTTGACAATGCCTAAACTACAAGAAATCTTCACAACAGTTGCCATCGTGTGTCTTCGCTAAGAGAGACTCGCTGTTTTGCAAAATGTTTTCGCTATTATTCTTCTTTAAGCAAGAAAAGACGGTGAAAAACTTTTCGAAGAAACTGCACACAAGTAAGATAAAGAAGAAGCTAAGATAAAAAGTTGGGTTTGGGACTTAAAAAATGCCTAAACTAGCACAAATCCTCAAAAGGTCAAGCGGTTCGAGGCAGGTATGTGTATCGGTCTTTTTCTTTTCTGATCATTGTATAAAACAAATAGATTCCATGTTGCCGTGGGTATGTTCAGTAATAGATCACAGAGGAAGTCAAAATGTGGTAAAAACAACAGTGACACACTCGCCTGCGGCTCGTGTGCCACTTCTTTGTTTTTACGACCTTTTGACGTCATCTGTGATCTATTACTGAACAGACGCACGGCAACATGGAATCTATTTGTGAAACTTACTGCAAATATGGGTATCACAACCTTTTTTCCAAAGCAATTGTATTAAATCCATTCAAATAATATATAAAGTTAGGCAAGGATAAAAAAGTAGCTCCTGTTGATAAATAGACATCCACTGAAACCTAAGCCAGCAAAAATCGGAAACCAGTAACTTGTCAGGAGAGAACTTCGAAAAACATTTAACCTCGATGGGTCGACACCGGAGCCCGCAATACGGTCATATGATACTGGTCAGCTGATAACTTGTTTTGCCAGTGACAATTGTCAATTGACTACGACAAGGATGTGCAGTATCAGATAGCAGGCTCCCACACTAGCCAGAAAGTTTGACATTTAATGTTGGTTTCCCTGTGATGCGGAAGGAAGAGCAGTCGGGCTGAAGTACGCTCACATGATTACCAAAATCTTTCGCATGGATAGATTAGGAGCCCCACTCGCGCACGCTTCGAGTGATTGCGTCCACATCCTCGAAAATTCTTACAGACCGATTTAAGCTACCCGTAAGATAAAGTCGTCTGTTTTGGCTGATGAATTATTCAACATTTTTCTCTTTTTTTCTTTTTTCTTTTCTTTTTCTTTTCTTTTTTCTCTAGATTGTAACTTTTAAGGACAACCCATACTTGTGGTCGGATGCCTCAACATTAATCAGATCGTCGGTTTTGAGCCTGGATTTAAAGATGACGAATGGATCACACCTTGAGATCTCGAATCTTAGTGAGCCTATAAAACTGTTCATTCCAATAAAGGAATCAAAGGAAACGGAAAGTGCACAAGATCATTATTTTGTTAACTCAAGTGTTATTCAATATCACAAAGTTAAACTTAGAAGTGCCCTCGAAACTGTTTTTGTAAAAATAATACCAGACAATGATGCTATTTTAGACGTTTTTGTAAGAGCTGGTGTAAGACCAAATGCGGAGAACTACACCTTTACAAGACGAATTCCGGACTCTGATAACACTTCGTGTCTCGGAACTGGTTTCTTTAACTGTGCAATCAACCCATATATGTTTAAATTTTCGAGCAACTTCACAGGAGATCATTTCATAGGCATCCGTCTGGTGTATGACAGAACCAAGCCTGTGTTGAAATCTATTGCAAAAAGCCACGTCCGACGGAAGCGTTGGTGGATTAACGTAAAGGAACCTCCCACGAGTCCTATCTCGACAATAAAGGTATTGCCAAAGTACGACAGTAAAACCGACGTTAATTACTCAATGTCAGTTAAAAGTAGGACCTGTCTCTACTGGGCTGAGAATAAGCAGGATTGGACAAATGAAGGATGCAAGGTAGGCCTTTTAGATTTTCCTCATCAGTATCATTAGCTTGACGTCCATGATTACCATCACAATCAGTCATGTCCAATACTGCTGCACTGCTACGGACCGTTAAGAGAAGTTAACGGACCGTACGTTCTGCACAAACCGTCACTCAGTTACTCACGGTCCGTATGCTGAGCACATACGGAGCGTGCATCTCATTATTACATCAGGGCACAATGCCTTACGGTTCGTTCGATCCGTTCGGTCCGAAAACATACGGAGCGTGCATCTCATTATTACATCAGGGCACAATGCCTTACGGTTCGTTCGATCCGTACAGTCCGTAGTCATACGGAGCGTGCATCTCGTTATTACATCAAGGCACAATGCGATACGGTTCGTTCGATCCGTACGATCCGCACTGCAAGAGAGGCGCACTCCAACTGTAATATTCCTCGTTCTATAAACCATAAACCAACTCAAGCGCAAAAACCAAGAAAGGCGCACTCCAAGCGTAATATTCGTCGTTATATAAACCATAAACCAACACAAGCGCAAAAACCAAGAAAGGCGCACTCCAAATGTAATATTCCTCGTTCTATAAACCATAAACCAACACAAGCGCAAAAACCAAGAAAGGCACACTCCAAATGTAACATTCGTCGTTCTATAAACCATAAACCAACACAAGCGCAAAAACCAAGAAAGGCGCACTCCAAGCGTAATATTCGTCGTTATATAAACCATAAACCAACACAAGCGCAAAAACCAAGAAAGGCGCACTCCAAATGTAATATTCCTCGTTCTATAAACCATAAACCAACACAAGCGCAAAAACCAAGAAAGGCACACTCCAAATGTAATATTCGTCGTTCTATAAACCATAAACCAACACAAGCGCAAAAACCAAGAAAGGCGCACTCCAAGCGTAATATTCGTCGTTATTTAAGCAATAGACCACACTTTCTATGGGTTTACCGGCGGGATAACCCACGCGGGATGTTGGGAGAACACGAGTGTTCTCCCAACATCCCAAGTGGGTTATCACGCCGGTAAACCCATAGAAAGTGTGGTCTATTGCTTTTAATATATAGATTTAGCCAGGGCTAAAAGCGAAGCTCTCTTTAATATTTATGGATTCCTCAAAGAAAATATAAAATCGATGAATACTAAAGACAAGTTGAAAGCAACGAAAACGCTAAAAACAACAACAATAGATCTAATTAGCAAAAAAACAACTTTGCACGTGCAGCACACTTTTTTTCTAATTAGCAAAAAAACAACTCTGCACGTGCAGCAGTTTTTTTTTTTGTACATTTCCTTACCGTTGTTTTACACGACTAACGTGAAACTTCTTTTAGCTTCCTATTTACGCGTTTTATGGAGGAAATGTTTGTGTTCCTGTTCATTCTATTTTTTCACTGCCGCTGCTTTTTCACATTATTTGGTGCTAGCATTCTTCATTTTCTAACCGCCGCTATATAATTTTCATGTTTTTCTTCCAGCGGCATTAGTCTCCGTTGTTATTTATTTCACGGTCCTAACAAGTGTGACATCGACATCGGCTTACATGAGGTGTGTGTACGGGTGGGCGGGCGGGCGGGCGGGCGGGCGGGCGGGCGGGCGTACGCTACGTCATAACCAAATTTTATCGGATGGATAGTTTACCAAATTTTCTTAGCCATGGTGCTCCGCTGGCGCGCTTCGCGCGCGAGAGCTCCGCTATAAAATAACTTTTAGTAGAATGGAGTCTTTTAGGTAAAAAATATGGTTTTAGTACCGTGATCAAGTCATGTCTTCTCTCTAAAGTCATCATAAGCCAATCATGACTCACGATTTTTAAAATAGCGCTGAACTTTCTCAAAACTCAGTTCAGTCAAACAACAAACGGCAGCACTTCAAAACACGAGTTTTTGCACTCATTACATGATAACTTATGAAAGCTGTTTTACAGGAAAAGTCAACATTTATTCATGAGAACGTACAATGAAAGAATACGTTCATGGTTTGTTTACTACAGAAGAAGAAATTAATTGAACATCAGACTGTACGCAGCTGTATTTTGTTGAGTCGATCCGTAAGAATTTCGTGCTTACAGACGGAACTGGCAGCTATTGTAATGGAGGACTTCATTCACATTTTACAAGCCGCAGTGGTTTAAGATCTGTTTTCTGGACTTTATCATGATTAAGAAATGCTGCGGTAACGACGTGGCTGCATTTGCGAAGTTGTCGCATGTAACTTTATATGCACGTACTGCGACCGATGGAAATATGTCAGTGGTGGAGAAACATTTCTTTGCCGTAGCCACATATTGGCGTTAATATTTGTCGATTTGTAAAGTCAGGTGGTTTGAGGTAGGTTATGGCATCGATATCACCGAATAATTTGTGCAAATGTTGGAGAAAACCAGCCCGAAACTCTGACATCTTTCATCATCGTTGGCAGCTTGTTAACAAACTACAGCGGCCGATTTTGTACCATATCTTGATCAGAGATCTCTTTTTTGAACAATTTCTTTCATTAAGGAATTTAATTTTGACATAAAATAAATCAAGAATGCTAAAACTATCCGTTTTGTTGCTGGTTGGCACATGGCTAAGTTTTCCTTGAGACTTTCTACACCAGAAATTCACACCGGTTGTTGTCTTTCTCTGCGATTTGGCATCGTCGTGAAATGTAAACTGCTTTCCAGCTTTGTACTTTATTACCTCTAAAGCTATGGCAGTAATAAAATGTGGAAACCAACGCTCTTGATATTAAGAAGGGCTGGGTAAGTCACTTGTTCTGTTTTTTAGCCTTTCTAAAATCATTGTTTGCAGATCAATAGCCGGTTTTGTTTATGGCTCGTGGTCCGTATGCCTTTTTCTATGGGTTTACCGGTATAATAAACCATAGGTTTTTGACCAATCAGATCACGCGTACTATCTCAGTTATTTTATAAATAAACCATAAACCAACACAAGCGCAAAAACCAAGAAAGGCACACTCCAAATGTAATATTCCTCGTTCAATAAACCCTAAACTAACACAAAAGAAAAGTCACTCATTCCTCGTTCTATAAACGATAATTATACCAACACAAGCGCAAAACCACACATTCCTCTATAAACCATAAACCAACACAAGCGCAAAAACCAAGAAAGGCACGCTCCAAATGTAATTTTCCATCTTCTGTAAATCAAAACAACCCAAAAATCACGGTATGCACGCTCTAGGTTTCATGCTTGTGTCTAAATGTGATGTTCTTGTAAGTCAAAAACCAAAAGAAGCGCGCTTCAAATGGAAGAACAATCGTCCATAAGTTTAATATATAGATTTAGCCAGGGCTAAAAGCGAGGCTCCCATTAATAAATTTATAATTTAAATCAAACAATAAACTTGTATTCGACAATTCAGTTAACTTTAGAGCACATTCGTGTGACTTTTCAGGGAAAGGCCAAGTGATTTTACAAAAAATAATTTGCAAACAGCCCAAGAGTGAACCAAATCTCACACCGAGTTGATAGCCTCATAAGTACACCCAAAAACTGGCAATCATCTTCGATCACATTTATTAAGAGCCATAATGGCTCTCGATCACCGTAGATTAATTAGGCCTGGAAAAAAATTCCGGCCGAATTTCTTGCTCTCGACAAGTTTATTTTACAAAATCTTGCCAACAAATCTGGGTGCGTGTAAACCAACCTTTTATATCATTTATACATCACATCTGAGGTGAAACAGTACTAAGAGGCACTGTTTTTATCATACAGACCTCGGACAACAGAATGCAGTATTTCACAATATTTTGCAATACAAATTGCTATTCAGGACGATCGAAGCACGCGTCGGCTTTAGCCGTACGTAAACCGTTGAAAAAATATTCAAAATCATCTATACGGCCAGCCGGTTCTGTCTTTTGCTGTGCTAGCAGTGGCGAGTGTTTGAATGAACATTAACAGAGTTACGCTCCAACATAATAAAGAATTTATTATGTTTATTTTTTAATTAACGCGCGGCATTTTGAGTACTCCGGGAAGCGTTGTTTACTGAATGACTGAAAACAATCGGCACAACGATTAAAATTACAAGAGAGAGTACTAACAATCAATAAAAGAATTATGATTCGGTGCAACATATACAGAGATGATAATTTTCATTCAGGAAGACAAGTATTAAAGTGTCTCCAAAAATCCTGAGTCTTCGAGCTTAAAGCTGAAGTTTATGGCTCGTGATTTACAAGCTTTTCTCGTGTTCTCCCAACATCCCGCGTGGGTTATCACGCCGGTAAACCCATAGAAAGTGTGGTCTATTGCTCAATAAAACTGCTCCTCGTTCTAATATCACAAACGAAGGCACGCGCGCTTCAAATGTAACAATGGCCTCGTTTTATATAAGCTGTCAAATTTTTCGCACTAAGCTTGCGGTACTTTGTATAACCATGATAAACATGCTCTAAATCAATTTAAGTTTCCTCTTTCTATACGCCAAAAACAAAAGCAAGCGCACTTTAAACGTAACTTTTCTACGGCAAAATTGTAAGAACAATCGTCTGCAGTTTATGAAATAGGAATGTTGATGCGAACCGTATATAACCACTCTTGCCATGAAAATATTTTAATTCCCACTAATGAGATGCGATTTACGGACCGTTAAACACTCTTTACAGACCGTATACCCCTTTTGTCGATCCGTTCGATCCGTACGGATCGACAAACCGTATATAACCACTCTTGCCATGAAAATATCCTAAGTCCCACTAATGAGATGCGATTTACGGACCGTAAAACACTCTTTACAGACCGTATACCCCTTTTGTCGATCCGTTCGATCCGTACGGATCGACAAACCGTCACTCTTGCCATGAAAATATTTTAAGTCCCACTAATGAGATGCGATTTACGGACCGTAAAACACTCTGTACAGACCGTACACCCCTTTCGTCGATCCGTTCGATCCGTACGGATCGACAAACCGTATATGACCACTCTTGCCATGAAAGATTCTAAGTCCCACTAATGAGATGGGACTTACGAACCGTAAAACACACTTTACCGAACGTATACCCCTGTTGTCGATCCGTTCGATCCGTACGGATCGACAAACCGTATACACCCAGTCTTGCCATGAAAATATTTCAAGTCCCACTTATGAGATGCGACTTACGAACCGTAAAACACACTTTACAGACCGTAAACCCCTGTTGTCGATCCGTTCGATCCGTTCGGATCGACACATAGCTTATACGGACCGTTACGGTGTGGGTGTATTGGACAACCCTCATCACAATTATCATTAACACTGTCATTGCCATTGACATCGTCATGATTATGAACGTATTCGTAATCATAATCATTAGCTCCATCATTAGCATTATCATTATCATTGCTATTATCATTAACACTGTCATTGCCATTGACATTGTCATAATTATGATCGTATTCGTAATCATAATCATTATCTCCATCATTAGCATTATGATTATCATTGTCATTATCATTAACACTGTCATTACAATTGACATTGTCATAATTATCATCGTGTTCCTAATCATAATCATTATCTCCATCATTGGCATTATCATTATCATTAACAATGGTGTTGCCATTGATATTGTAATAATCATCATCGTATTCGAAATCATAATCATTATCTCCATCATTAGCATTATCATTATCATTGTCATTATCATTAACAATGGCATTGCCATTGACATTGTCATAATTATCATCGTATTCGTAATCATAATCATTATCTCCATCATTGGCATTATCATTATCATTGTCATTATCATTAACAATGGCATTGTTAACTTTTGTTATCGCTATTGTCATCATCATCATCATCGACAACATAATCACCATTGTCATCGTCATTCCCATTTATATTGTCATTGTCATTGTCACTACCATAATCATTATCATTGTCAATGTGGTTGTCATTAACATCATCCTACATGCAAGATGACACCATGTTCCTCACAATTTTGCTGGATTTGAAGTCCAGGTTCAGAAAAACACAAATAAGACGTCACTCTCTATCTTCGAAAAGTTAACAATAAAATTATTCAGACATGTTACACTAAGACAGTACGATTTCAAACTATGCATGTCATATAAAATATACCGGTAGAATGAAGAATTCCCCACTTTCTAATTTCGCGCGCTATCGTTTTAACGGTATCACGAGGTGCAGACCAATTGTTTGGACTAATTTGAAAAGTCCCTATACTTAAAGGATCATTCGCGCGGATTCTATTTGTTTTGGGCGTTTGCGCTATACTAAAAGCTCAGTGATTCTTATAATTTTTGTTGTTTCCTGTTTAAAAGGTTGGATCGGATGGAGGCAGTGGTACTCTGCAATGTTTGTGCAATCACCTGTCGATATTTGGAGGAAATATCTTTGTAGCTCCTAACCCTATCGACTTTAAAACAGTTCGGAATCGATTCATAGATCCAGAACCCGACGACTTTGTCGTTCTTGTAACTGCGTGCATTATATTTGGCATTTACTTTAACGGTCTAATACTTACACGTCGAGCCGACAATAACGACAAAAGGAAGGTCAGTATAGCTTGAAGTATTTCGAAGAACCAGTTCATTTAAAGCTATTTTCATAGTATAGAGATTGCTAGAGTGAAACCGCTACACGGTTAAATAAGGGAGAGTCTGTCGAGTTAAGGTCATGAGCTGAGCTCATATCCCCTTAGCACTTTAAACCGGAGTTTTCAAAAAGCCTGTAAGATCATATTGGCGGAGAATCAATATCTTGTCCCAGTTCAGGTGATTGCGTCCCAATATTTGGACGTTGATGTTAGGCCGTCAGGCTTTAACGCTCATCAAATTTCACTTTTGTTATTCGTTTGACTGTACTGTGACGCATGCTACTGGATTGCTTTGCCACCCACCCACCGTGGGTTGTTATTATTGCTCTCATCGTTTTGACGACTGTCAGTTTTTCTGAACATGAACAATGACTTCTGTCCTTCAGACCTCTCTAAAGTTATGGGCTTCACACGGTTCTTGTTATTAGAACTGATCAATCTTATAGAACACAGGGAGAACAAGAAAAGATGAGGAAGTTAATACTAAGGAAAGGCTAAAGCTGCATCAGTGGACGAAAACTTATGAAGTCACAAATCAAATTGTTTCCTAGAGAACAGCAGTGAAAAAAGTTTAAGGTTTCCCTTTATTAGATAAGAGAGGTATCCGTATCAACTTTCTTATTCGTGACATAACCAATGTATCCTCCAAAGAATGCTGGCCATTATTTTGTTGAGAGAAAAAAAGGAGCGTATCTTCGAGAGTGTGCTCTTTAAATGTTTAATCTTATAAAAGTTGTTCTTATATCAGCTTAACAGTTGCTCTTATTTATCAGCTTAACTTTTTATAATCTTTGTTTTAGGTCGTTGCAAACGTGTTCATAACTACATCCTTAAATATGGATGGGCACAATACCAAAGGAAAAAGAGAGAGAGAGGATAACCCATTTCAGTTACATTCAACCGCTGATTCTTCTGACAAAAACGTTTACCACGTAAGCATCGAAACGGGAATGTGGATGAACAGTGGGACATCTGCAAATGTTGTACTTATAATAAATGGTGAAGAGGGAAGCAGTGGAGAAATTTCGTTGACAGATCCTTTGGCCAGGAGAAAATTATTTTCCCGTGGAAGTGTCAATAATTTCATTCTTGCATTGCCGAATTCATTGGGAAACCTTACAGATATCCTTATATGGCATGACAACAAGGGATCCAATCCGGCATGGTTTCTTCAAGAAATTGTCGTAACCAACCAGCAAACAGAGGAAGAGTGGTACTTTTTTGCCAACCGGTGGCTTTCTCTAGACAAAAGAGGTGGCTCTGTTGAACTCTATCTTGAACCCAGGAAAAAGGACAGACTTGCGCTATTTAAACCTCTCTGTTACGGAAGAACGGCACGAAACTTAAGCGAAGGACACATTTGGATTTCAATGTTCACACGACCCCCTCAAAACCCGTTCACGCGATGCCAGCGTTTATCTTGCTGTCTTTCTCTTCTTTTAACAGCCATGGCTACCAACGCTATGTTCTATAAAAGAGGCGATTCTAAGACTGATGACACCTTTAAATTTGGGCCTCTGGTTATGAGCTGGACACAAGTCATAATTGGAATTGAAAGCAGTCTGATAGCTTTGCCACTTAACTTACTCGTGGCCTTAATGTTCAAGAACATAAGATCAAGCGGTGAATTCTATGATACAGTAGAAGGAAGTAAGAAAACAAAGACTCGGGGTTTCCTGCCACCGTTTTTTATTTACATCGCCTGGTTGTTTTGTCTTGCCATTGCTGTGACTGGAGCCACCATCACAGTGTTCTATAGCCTCGATTGGGGGGCAGATAAGTCCAACCAATGGTTGACATCTATACTGGTGTCCATTTTTCAGGATATCCTTATCAATCAACCCGTTAAACTGTTAGCCTTCGCGATAGTGCTATCACTTTTGATCAAAAAGCCACCAGAGCAAACTGTCATTGGGCCATCTTTTTTCCAGAGCCCAAAGGTAAACCAAATCAAGGCTACGTCCACCGAAAACAACAAAACTGAAAAGGAAGTCTGCAGTAAAAGCTGGGACATGGCTCAGGCTTTTAAAGAATTTGCGTCGTTTCTGGTCTTAAGTATCATCCTCATGTTTGTTGTTTATGCAGCTCAAGACCCATCCCGATACCAATTCACCAATTCAACAATCAGCCTCCTAGGTGGCTTTGAGAAGGTGAATTAAGTCGAGTTACCACTGTGTTGAAAATATATATATACAGCTATTTCGAGAAAGGTTGTCGGAAAAAAGTGCACGCGACAATCCTGAAAGGCATTATGGGTGGTTTTAAGTTCACTGTTCTTCAAAGAAATTTGAAATAATTGCCACGAAAGGCCATGAAAATGCGTTTGCGAGTGCTAAAGGAAAGCAACAAAAGTAGGTTCGACAGCTAAAGCCGTTAGAAACAGTGTATCAATCATATCCCATATTACCTTTCGGGATTGTCGCGTGCACATTTTTCAGACAACCTTTCTCGAAATAGCTCTATATATATTTTTAATATAGATGGGAATTTAGGAATAACCAGTTAATAAGGGGCTGGAAAAATCGTTCCTTAGGACAGTGCTATGTTTTATTACATCGAGATCCCCAGGGCGAACATTAGATCGATATTTTTAGCTAAATATGCATTCCCGCGGCAAATAATCTTACTATATGGTTTGTTATGTCAAGTGCTCAATGCTGAAAACATTTTACATTCCTGTAACCAACGTATGTCCCTCTGACGAGTCGATGACATAAATAGACCATTTTTAAAGGCTCACGCCGGGTCAACCTCCGGAGGGATAATCAAAAGTGGCTGTTTTGGTTAATTTACAATACCAGGAGCCCATGACCTCCTGACAATACTTTTATCAGCCTGAAAATATGAAATACTGAGCAAATCAAATTGGCTTAAATTTCGACATCAAAATGTCAAATTGTGACGTCACATTTTCTGTCGTCATTCATACGTAAAGTCTCCCAGTTCTAATAAAGAACTGTTCATGGAAAAGTGAAAACTTGAATTTTTTTTGCAGTAAATCAAATGTAAACTGAGATATGATATTTTGAATTTTGATAAATTCGTTCCACGAAAGCGGGGTTGTAAAATAAGTCTAAAGCCCCATTCACACTAAGCCTTAACCCTTAACCCTAAGATCAAAATCAAAATTCTCATTTGTCGCTCCTACTCATTTATTTTAGCAGTAGTGGGATGAAGTTGATAAAATATCAGGCAAATTCATCTTGTGTGATCATGTCGTTAATTCTTATGACCACTCTGTTTTACAAAGCATTGCCATTACAAGGAGAAATTTCATGCTGATCACCCTATGGGTTTAAAGGGTTAAACATGTTCAAAAGCTGCTAAGTTAAACAGTGTAAAAAATGTTTTCTTTAAAGAAGCAGATTGCCGTAAATGATTGATTAAGCGCCGCGGTGCTTATTTCATTTCCTTGTCATAGGTGCAGAGAGAGCGAGCGCTTATTACAACTTACAGAGGGAAATATAGAGAGTTAAGGTGGCTTGTTACAGTTTTCAGGGTCAATACCTCCGAAGTTTGAGCATAAACTACGTCGCCGTAAACAAAGTTTTGGAAAACTTGCCACCACAGCTGTATTAGATATAGACGAAAATTTGTTGTGATCAGAGTTGCAAAGGCATCGGAGTTGCCATAGCAACGAAATGACGCTAATACCTATTTTACTTGTAGCAGTATATCTCGGCACTGGGAACGGTTCTTCGAAAATCATTCACGGGAGCTTTTTCCTCCAATAGCAGCCTCGATGTTCGTGAAGTTTAAGCGAAATCTGTAAGAGCCTTACCGAGATATTTTGGGATAAAGTTTTTATTGCTAGAAACACGTTTGGCCGTTATCTGTAGAAAATGAAGCGCTTTTGACATACATTTTCACCTCGTAGTAGTTTCAATCTGTTGAAAAGCGTGTGTGAAAGATCATGGGAGATAGCTTCAGCCGATTGCTTGGAAGAAGGGTTTGATTAGTATGTATCGAATCGCTCTTGTTAGCGGTTTTGTAAACATTTTGGTCTTCTTTAACAAATTAGCGAATAATTTTTAAACTGCTCGATAGATTTTTTAAAAATTTAAGATTCTTGAGATTAACCTTCCTTTTCTATGACCTTTTAGTTTCAAGATTATTGATATATTGTATGGCAGTAAAATAAGGGCTACAATTCGTTATTTTTTATCGGAAGTTTCGTCATTACAAGTGAAAGCTTCTAATTATTCAAAAGGCATTGTCTCCAAGTTTCATTTTCACTTGAACAGCAGTAACTAACAATGCATTTGAAATGTGCAAAAATGCTAGCTATTTTTGTGCACGGAAATATGAAACTTGGACACAATACACTGAATAATAAGAGGCTCACACTTGTAAACACAAAATTTCTGCCAAAATATTAGCGAGATATACTGCTGCAAGTAAAATAGGTAGTAGCGTCATTTCGTTGCTATGACAACTCCTATGCCGTTGCAACCCTGATCATAACTAATTTTCATCTTCATTTAATACAACTTTGGTGGCAATTTTTCCAAAACTTTGTTTATGGCGACCTAGTTTATACTCAAACTTGGGAGGTATTGGCCCTGAAAAACTGTATCGAGCCACCTTAAGTGAGGCGTGTACAAGCTATGCACAATTTAATAGCGCACTTCTCGCGCGCGAAGCGCCCGTCAGCGGAGCATCATGGGTAAGTAAATCTACCCATCCCAGAAAACTTGGTAATCACGTGACCGTACTCCGGACGCCCGAACGACCGTCCGTCCACACCTCAGGCATACCAATGTAAAATAAGTCAATCAACAAGTATGGCAACCCAAATGCAACTCGGGGTTATTTTGGCGGGAGAAATCGCATAGCCACCCGCGTCACAACTACAGAGTTAATAAAGACGAAAACGGAAAGCGGAAATTTTTTATGTATCCGTGTTGTCTAAAGTATTAAGCTTAGATTAATTGTCATGCCTACGAATTCGGAAAATAGAGCAAGAGAAAGACAGTAAGGAAAAAAAAAGAGAAAGTAGGCAGCAGGCCAGCGAAGCTCAACGAGAAAAAAGGTGACAGAGATCTAGAGCGAGAGATAAAAAAACAAAGGAGACACTAGCTTTTTTTGTTGGAAGAACAACGTGAAAATTTTGTAGCGGCAGTGACAACATGAGAAATGCTAGCGGTCACCAATGCATGGTGAAAGTGAGCGGCAGTGAAAAATAAGTGATCGAGAACACGTACGACATTTCCTCTAAAAACCGTGTAACTAAGAATTTTCTGGAAGTTTCACGTTGTAGTCGTGCAAAACAACCGCAAAGAAATGTACATAAAAATTGTGTTGCACGTGGTTACTTTTTTGCTAATTAGACCTATTGTTGTTTTTTCACCGTTCTCGTTGCCTTTGCCGCTTAGCATTACACGATTTTTTATTTTGTTTGAACAAACTTTAAATATTACCGAGAGCTTCGCTTTTAGCCTTGGCTAAATCTATATATTCAGGAGCCCATAACCCATATGGGTTATGGGCTCCTGATATATCATAAAATATGTACACCTCGAACTGTTTATTGTTGGTTTTCACATGCCGTCAATAAAATTCAAACTACAAAACTATCGATACTACTGAGATTATACTTTCATGGTGTATTAGAGTCGCTGAAAACTAATGTTCATTTTCGCTTTAAAAGGTTTCTTGGTTTTGTGTTAGAGTACGCTTTAATTTCTAAGCTTTTGCGTGAAGCGGCATTTACATGACGGCCCAGAGAGCTGTAATGTAGGTTAAAAAAGTGACTTATTTCGGGGAATTTTGTTATTTAAACAGTTAATGTATAACAAAAGTTTTACTGTTACGCTTATGAGTTCCTTGAGGGATATATTCACTCGTTTGTAGCAAAACTCAGTGAGAGATGTTCTGTTAGTTTCCGTCCGCTATGTTGGTGCCCATCCAGGTGGGCACCAGCATGGCGTCTCCAAACGAATTCCTATAAAATTGGGTAAAACATTTTTTTCAGAAATCTCTTTTACGAAATATTCCTCTGGCCCGAGTCTTGGCTAGGGTCTTTGTATATTTACATTCTTTCATCTCCCAGATTCTGGACTTTCTCCATCGAACGGTTTTGATTTTTATTTTGATCTACTTTGAATGGCGTGACACTGAAAACCAGCAATAACCCGGTTTCAAGAGTTTCCAGCTTTAGAACTCATGAATTGGTCGAGGTCTTATTTCTCAAAAGAGATAGTTTTGATATCTCTTTATTTCAAGCGCCGTAAGAAAGGTGGGGCTTTATCTGTAAATACCCAGATTAGCGCTGCGGCGCTTTTTCGAGAGCGCCGCTTATTAAATTATTTTCGGTAAAGGTGCGGCACTCATTCGAGAGCGGCGTTTATTCGAGTAGGGGCGCTTAATCGATCATTTACGGTACTGTACTTTTATCAATTGCAAATTTTGTGCCTGAGCATAAGGTGTTTACAAAGTGTCTTTGAATTGTGCGTAAACGCCCGGGCTGTGCCCTAGTAGTTTGTTAAAATTATACTGTTTTGTTGTTGTTGTTGTTGTTGTTTTGTGTCATTTTGTTAAACTTAGTTTAATTAGTTGGTGTGAATGGGGCATCAATTAAGGTGTTTTGTTGTCTCTTTTGTCGATGTCTAAATAAAAAAGATAATTTTTAAAAAAGAAATTTCTAACTGCGCAAAAAACAAGAAAACAGTTTTGTGACCTCATGAACCGAGTGTTCAGCGACTACTTGTAATTTTAAGTTACTCTTGACCGGTACTTGTTTATCAGGTGGAAAGTAAGGACTCTCTGTGGAATTGGACTGAAAATGACTTGCTTCCCAGCCTGTACAACACTAACTGGTACAATGGGCAGCCATTTGAGTACAAAGAGGGATTCATAAGTGACAAGCAAACCTTCATGTTGGGAATGCCACGACTCAGACAACTAAGAGTAAAGAAAGGTGAGTTTGGTTTATATTTAAATTTAAAACACACCAACCTCATTGACGTTATTTTTCAAAATATTTCTCTTTTATTCTGATTGGCTCAAATCCCATGGCTAATTTGTCAGAACCAGCTAGTGTAAACCAACTTTGGGAAACTATCCGGAAAAATGATGACATCGTCAGAAAAAAAAAAAAAGGAACGGTAACCAAGAATCGTGTAGACGAGGTTGCGTTGTTTGGTACGTTTCCCGGAGAAGAAACAGCCGAGATTATGCCTAAAGATATATGAAGATCAGCAAGAATACACTCTATAGATGACATCTGCTATTTAGAGAATATCTGCAGCCGAGATAAACATTTCTTCAATTCTGTCGTCCTCTTGCGTAAGCTTACAACGAGAACGCCCACATCAGCAATATGTTTGGATTAGCAAAACACCAATTTTGCACATCGCGTAGAATGCCCGGTCACATCCAGGAATTTAACGGGCTAAAGCCACATTCGAGCCACGATTTGGTCTTTAAAATATGGCGGAATAATAAGACTAAAGCGACTTTGAGAGTTTTTTGTCTCTGATTGTGAGTTACTCGTACCCAAATCTCAACGGGTACCACCGGAATATTAATATCAAAAAACATCAAATTCAAGATCTTACCTTCGATTAATGCCGGCTTATCGGATTTCACTGGGTTTTTCGCGCTAAAAAACAACCCAAAAATAGCCATTTTGTATGGATTTTTACTTGCGTAGACTTTCGCCGAAAGATTACAACCAAAGTTTGCACAAATCGCGAACGGTACCACCTGATATCGTGACATCTCTCGTCTGCCTTCAAAACCACCACAGTCTTTTAAACCAAAGAATGTGATAAAAACTGTTTTTTTTGTTTGTTTGTTTTCCTTTGAATTTGACCTAAGCCCGTGAGGGGTGGCCAGCGCGAAGAAAATTTCCAGAAAACGTCTTTGAAATCCAAAAAAGATTCCCGCGTTTCGGCCGCAATCTTTTTTTTTTTTTTTTTTTTTTTTTTTCAAACCTCTTTCCAGATCTCCTTGACCGTTTTGTTGTTTTTACCTCATGTATGCTTCATTTAGAAGTGTCACGGATAAAAACAGCAAAATACTAACCCCTACGCGGACGGGAAATTTTTTGTTAACCTCAATGAACCAGGAATTCTACGCGACGGGCATCACGCCTTTTTTGTGCATTTCTTTACCGTCGCTGCACGACAACAATGTGAATCTGGCTAATTTCACATTTTCTGGGAACGTGAAAACAAAACAACGGGATTTTGTTACCTTTTTTTATGTCGCGAAATTTATCAAAATGCAAGAAGACTGAAACGGATATTTGAAGTTTTTGAGAACTTGTTAGCCTAACAGCTTTTCATGGGACAAATTGGTTTGACATGAGGCAGTGTTTCTTTGCATCAAATGAAAACTTGGAAAAAATCCGAGCCCCAGATGGGAGTCGAACCCACGACCCTCCGTGATCTAATCAGATGCTCTAACCACTGAGCTACTGGAGACTTGATGGTGAGCAAGGGTGCTAGATTCTATGACAAAAGGATTTAATTGGCCCTATTATCAAAATGACCTGGACAGCCGTGACGGTCACAGCCTCTTTAAGTTCCTTAATTTCTAGCCCACAATCTCCGCTTTCAGTAATTTAACCAATTTATCCTATGCCTTCATTAAGATATAGGATGTCCTGTAGTTGTGATGGATAAAGCTGTTGGAGACCTTTATGCAGGCTGTCGTCAGTCATACTCAAGCGATACCGAAGACCGAGGTTTAACTTATGGGCCGAAGTGGACCCAGCTGGAAAATAATAGCCATCTTGAAGCTAAAACTGACTTCTTCCCGAAGCCATGGAAATACCTAAGTTCTTCAGAGGTCAAAACCACTTCTCACTACGCTGTAGAAGGGAAGTACGGTGGCGGTGGCTTTATAGCTGACCTAGGCTACAACATTGTAACTGCTTCAGACGTAGTAAGAGAACTAAAGAAGTACAACTGGGTTGATGAGCGAACTTCTGTTGTCTTTATAGAGTTTACCCTGTTTAATCCATCGACGTCACTTTTCTCTATCGTCCGAAACGCATATGAAGTTTTGCCAACTGGCCAGGCTGTTACTTCGATGGACGTGAGGGCAATTTCACTGTATCCGGCGTCAAATCCTCGTTTTCAGTCATTTTATGAGGCATGCCAACTTATTTTTCTTGTTGTTATTCTTATATTCTTTGTTATTGAAATAGTTAAGATTGTTCGAGAAAGAGGATATTTTCGTCAGGTATGGAATTGGGTGGAGTTGATCCCTCTGTTGATCTCCATAGCAGCAATATGTGTGTCATTCTTTAAAGAACAATACACCGCTAGGTATGTGAAGAGGATACAGAAAAACCCATACGAAACATTCAGCTCTGATGCTATCACAAGTTTGCTGGACGTGGAAGCACTGCTGCTATCACTGGCAATTTTCCTATTAACTCTAAAGCTGTTGAGGCTCACTCGGTTTAATCCCCATATCGGCCAAATGTACGGAGCCCTCAGGACATCCGCTCGACCAGTTATGTCGTTTTTGGTGCTGTTTTTCGTTGCTTGTGTTGCGTTTACACAATTTTTGTATCTGACATTTGGAGCCAATTTGGCCTCGTTTGCTTCGTTTACCAAATGCTTGCAGGTACTGCTTTACGCGGTGATTGGCCAATCCGTCGGTAATAAAAAGATGCATGAGACTTTTCCGGTCCTGGCGTACTTTTACGTGTTTTTATTTTTTATTGTTATGGTCTTCTTTTTGATCAACATTTTTGTCGCCATTTTGGTCTTGCCTTACGTAGATGTCAGGAAAGAGAAATGTGGTCCTCAGGTTGCAGATGCAGAACTTGGACGGCTTATGTACAAAACCGTCTTACGTAAGATAATCAGTTTCCCAGGCAAGCTCTTCCATGTAGTGAAGCTGTTGCGAAAAAATACTTCCAAAATTGTTTCTCGAAAGAAAAAATCTCCCGGTACCTTTATTAGCCTTATGCGCTCCATGTGGAAGAAGGAAAGCCCAGATGAAGTTGAGGAAGAGGAAAATGCCCTAGTGCCTCCACTGGTGTCACCGGAACATTCTGATATTGAAGACAGCGGTGATGAAGTGGAATGTGCATCCCTTGAAGACATAAAAAGTCAGCTAACTGAAATATCATCTGAGCTGAATTCCCTGAACTACGCGATCATGAACGACAAAGTGGAAAAGCCTTTGGCAACGCGAAGTTATTCAGCTCAGGCAGGGCATCTCTAAAAATGATCATGTGGCCTGCTTTACAGTCGAATTCCTTTGCAAAAATACACTTTTCACGCAGTCAAGTCTCTTAGAAAAACGGAAGAGTAGTAAAGCAAATTGTCTGTATGGTGTAAACATGAAGGCCGTCCAACAGTGTTCGTGGGAGGAAAGATACGAAAACTTATAAGTGGCGGACGAAAGTGCTAAACGGGTTTTTTCGCTGTATTTTGAGCCTGTTGTAAAACATTTAAAATAACCCAATAAGAGAACCTCAAAAAAGCATTGCTTTAAATTAGAAAACACCAAAGAGCAATAGTAATTATATAAGGTGAACATAAGTATCCAAAAGCCAACAAAACCGCCCGGGACGCCTTGATCATGTCTGTACAAGAATATTCCTTATATAAGTGTAAGCGCAATGATTTTAATGATTAACTTTCATCGCTAATTCGAAACGGTTAGCTTCATTTACTGTTAGAGTTTTCACTATTACTATATATACATGAGAAAGGCAAAAGGGTAATTGGTAGCAATCCTCCATGGAGTGATGGTGCAGGCACTGAGGTTCAGTTCTACCGAAGTGCTGACTTCTTTACACAATAAACCCTAAGGCTACAGAAATATCGTTTGAAATGGTATAATGACATTCATTGAGTAGCTATATTACAGATCTGTCATATCACGCGTCAGTATGCGTGGACGCTATGAAAGCCCTTGGCTTAATTGCGGAATACCCGGCCACTTCAAAGCTATGCCCCTTAGCCGCGTTGCGGGGTAGCTGCGTAGCCACGTAGCCACTGTTATGGAGGTATAGCTTTAAAATGGCTGGGTATTCTGCAGTTACTCCAAAACAACTCCAAATCCGAACTCAAATAACTCCCTGCTTTTTTATGTACGCGCGCGGCCCACACGCGCACAAAAATAGCGCCTTTAATCTTCAGTTCAGTAAAACTACACGAGGTGCGCGCTGGTCATTTGCGTGCGCATCACGCTGGACTAGTCTATGACGTTTTTCCGCATCCGGTTCTTGACCCAGCCACAAAATCGAGTTTCTCTCAGCAAAATGTTCTTGTCCAGCTCTCTTGCGGGTTGTGTTTAGGTTGCGTTCTCCTCACGTCGAACGCAATAGACCAGTCCCGATATATTAAACTTCATACTTGGCTGCGAGGCTTGGGGGAATAAAACAAAAAAAACTCGTCTTGAGGCTCAATAATAAATAATACATTTCTTTTCTTTTGTTTTATTCCCCAAACCCCGGAGCCAAGGATGAATTCTAATATGTCGAAAATGTTCTATTAAAGACAGCTTCTGTGACGATAGCTTTGCCCTTCCAAGCACAAATCGGGGAAAATAAGCGTAAAGTGAATTCGAGCTACTTCGGCGGGTGAACCACAAGGGGGAAAACTAACTCTTCAACTCGCTTGGCTGGCGGGAAAGGAACTCATCACTGTTCCACGGTATTAGGATCTGCCACAACTGGAAAACAGGACAACACTCAAACTTGGACTTCAACAGCTTTAATCTTCAGCTCGCGGACGTAAATCGTACATACATGCGTATCCAAAATGTAACTGAATCGTACAAGCATGTAAATCCGCAATGTAAATCGAAAAACAGGGATAACTGTGCTGTATTTATACTAACCGATCAACTTATTACAACATCACAAAATAAATGAAAAGACGGCTGAATCAAATCAGCTGAACACCGAAAACAAATCTGCATAAATTCAACTTTAAAATTCATATTTTAAACTAAATGACTCAAAATTAAATGTCAGTCAAGCAAGTGAATTTGGGAAATTTGCAAAGAAAGCTCTGTAAAAGAATTCGAGTTTCCTTTGCTCAGGATTCTGTAAAATGTCAAAACTACAAAACTAAGACGGTTGGTATTTGTACAGGAGACTAAGCTGTATAATTATTTAGAAACTTAAATTATTCTTTTAAGAGTTAATGTCTGTAAATATCGAGCAATCGGCGGCCACGGTCAAAAATTAAATTTCGCTCATATCTTGTCCATAGATAGGTATTAGCAAGTAACTAAACGTAGATTGCTTTGAAAATCGACAAAACCAATTTTCATGAACAAACAAAATTTACGGACAAATGAGGCGGTCTCAAAACTTCCCTCGCACGCAAAAAGGGTTTTAGTCCTAGTATGGCGGTTAATTCTTATCTTAACGATAATGTGGAAGGGGAACAATTTTATTTTAGTTTTAGTTCTTTTTCAACTGAACGAAGTTCAAGTTTAGGCTTAAAGTCGCGATTTAATTTTTAGGCATGTGCTGTACCTTGGTTTTCCCTGAAACTCAAGCTATAAGTTATTTAAACATTGTGCTAAACCATATGTGAAAACTGGCTTGGGTAATTCAATTTGTGCTTCAGACGAACCTTCTGAACTTGAACAAATTTTGAGTGAAATATGAGACATTTGTAAAATTATTATTCAACAACGCCTTGCTGTTGCCCAAACGGACATTCTGAACCTTCTGAACTTGAACAAATTTGGCTTTTTCTGAGAAGAAATCTGATGTACTTCTATAGTACGATAATTAATTGGCCAACATCCAGTTGGAATTAACTTACCCTTATAAGTATGGAGCACTTTTTTAAACTTTTTCTACGCTCAAGCTCCAAATTCTGCCGGCTCTAACACATTTTTGTAATTTGAGCTAAACGAAAGGTCATTGGAGACGGGCCAGGTTATTAAAATGTCACTCAAACCGAATGAGCGTTACGATCTAAATTCTTAAGGAGATTGAACAAGATGTATCACGAGAAAATTATGTTCTTAAACATTTTCGGCGATTTGAAAGATGCTCTTACCATTTAATAGAATCTGTTACAACATACAGCGAGTCACAATGTGAGAAGACAAGGAGTGGTATTGCGTGACAACGGACACCATCCTTCTAATTGAGAAAGAACGAGCAGAAAACAAAATTGCTCATGCATTACTTTGATGTTTTCAAAGTTATTTGTTCAATTATACAACAACTGAAAGGTTGCATAGTCTGGCTGCCAATAGTATTTGATTTAAAAGTGTAAGTGGTGGTCAGCTTTTGACACCTGCATGATAAAAGTAACGTGTTGACTAAGGGATTTGGAAAACATCAAAATCATACACCCTGCCAGCAAACACGTACACCGAGTAGGTTTTAAACTTTGGACAACCTCCATAAATGATCTCGGAAGCTTTTTTTGTTTTGAGTGAAGAATCACAAAGAAAAAATAATGTTATTTCATGAGAAAGGGCGGGTGGGGAAGAGTGGCTCTGAATCTTACTTGGTTACTACCTATTAAGACTCCGATGGAACGATCGTTGCGGGTATAGAAGAATCCGTCGAAAGGATTACGCTGTAACTCTTACACAAGGATGTTAGGTAAGCAATTTGCTCTAAGCCCTGTCTTCCCCCTTTTCAAATGCTTGCACAGGCTAACCAGCATTAGAAAACTTACATTAGCACACGCAACTAAGAAAATATTGCTGGTTTTCAGGGTCACGCCATTCAAATAGATCAAAATAAAAATCAAAACCGTTCAATAGATAAAGTCCAGAATCTGGGAAATGAAAGGAGGTACATATACAAAGACCCTTGCCAAGATTCAGGTCAGAGGAATAATTTGTATACGAGATATCCGAGGGAACGTTTTACCCAAATTTATAGAGGTTTGTATGGAGACGCCATGCAGGTGTTCACTAGATGAGTTCCAACATGGCGGACGGAAACCAACAAAAACGTCTGTTACTGAGTTTTGCTACAAATGCGTGAATTTATTATTCGAGAAACTCATCATTAAACATTAAAGTAATACTTTTCTAATACATGAACTGTTTAGATAGCAAAACTTCCTGAAATAAGTCATTTTTTTAACCTACATGACAGCTCTCTTGGCCGTCATGTAAATGCCGCGTCACGCAAAAGCTTAGAAACTCGAGCGTACCCTATCACAAAACCAAGAATCCTTTTGGAGCGAAAATTTGTATGAAATTTAGTTTTCAGCTGCTCTAATGCATCGTGAAAGTAAAATCTCGGTAGGATCGGTCGTTTTTTCGTTTGAATTTTAGTGACATCATGTGAAAAGCAACAATCGCAAAGTAATTGGGGAAATGCTTTCCAGGCAGGGCGTCCTTGTGGGGCGGTAGATGACGCAGCGCTATTTTTAAGTATAAAAACCTCTCCTTGAGTGTGAAGACTTAAGGCATGTGTTTGATTTCTAGTAGTGAATATATACAATGAAGGAAACCTGGGGTCTAGAACGCTGACCTGTTCCTCTCTCATTCCTTTACCAAAGAATACTTGTCAAAGTATATCAGACAATTTCCTCCTTACAGGATGCTTGGCTACTCAAACAAGCTTTAAAACCTGACACTAAGATGATATACCGCAGATACAGCAAGTTAGGAAGCTGGAATCAAACGTGCTTACCAATGAGTTAGGCCCTGACGTCTTCAAAATTCACGTTAAAAGAACAATGTTTAGGCAAACGCATTAAGTTTACTTTTCCAGTAAATTCCGTCTTGAGGCCTTATACAATGGACCAGGGGCCAGTTTTTCCAAAGTCCATAACTTTTCGGGCCCGAAATCAAATATTCAAATCGAAATAAAAAGAATAAGAGCGCGGGTCCTGGCTAGCACAATACTCCATTTGTTTCACTAACTGATGGTTTTATCATGCAACTATTGAAACTTCCTGCTTGCCTGTAAACAACAACAGCTTTAGGGGCCCGTTAATTATCGGGACTTTCGAGAAACGGGCCCAGAAGTGGATGCAGCCTCAATATTCGTCTCACTGATGACTGCTGCAGAAAGTTATGGTCGGAGACTTTCTTTTCAGGAGTTCTGATCATGATCGTGAATTTCTGATGAGCCACCAAGTTTCAGTCTGAAGATCGGTACTAAAGCGCACACTCAGAGCATGGCAAAATGACCGAGAGAAAAACTGAAACAAAAAACTATGTGAGTAAAGAAAGTAGTGGAAGCGTTAGTCGATAGTTGACAGGGGCACCCAACGATT